TTCAGACTATTTGCTTTAATTTTGGAAGTGGGTGGGGTGTCAGCTTCTCTCAGCTACCGGGTTGTTGAGTTTGGAGAAAATCCTTCTGATTTATCTGATACTCCAGCAACATAAGGAATGACCATGTTTTTCTGACTCTTCTTCTCCTGGTTCTGTTCAGTGGTGTGTTTTCAAGGATTCAATGATTCAAGGTTCTTTATTTGTTGTTCCACCACATGTACCACATGTGGTGGAATGAAATTATGTTCACAGGGTCCCAGTTGCATCCAAGAAAAGTAATAAAATGTCAAAGAAATCAGTAATAAGATCTAAGATATGAACTGAGAAAAATGTTAACTAAAAACACGCTGAACAGCAGCACGAACATGAGTCTGTGTGAGCAGATGGGTACAAATGAACACAGCAACATGAAACAGATCAGCAGCAACATGAAACAGATCAGCAGCAACATGAAACAGTTCAGCAGCAACACAAAACAGATCAGCAGCAACATGAAACAGATCAGCAGCAACATGATGTAATTTTTCACAGTGATTCTCCTGGTCAGAGATTCATGAGTCTAACAGCCTCAGGGTAGAAGCTGTTCCTCAGTCTAGTGGTTCTACACTTAATGCTCCTCAACCTCCTTCCTGAGGGGAGCGGGGCAAAAAGTGTGGATATCCTAACTGGGCTTTTGTCAAGTCAGCAAGGAAATCAACAATCCTCTACTATCTATTAATATCCCCTGTTCACTCTGCTCACGTATGATTGTGCAGCTACCCATCCAGGCTGTCACATTGTAAAGTTTGCGGATGATACAGCGGTGGTGGGATGCATCACAAACAATGATGAGTCCAGCTACAGGCAAGAGGTGGAACACCTGGAGAGCTGGTGTAAAGAGAATAACCTTCACATCAATGTGAAGACGACAAAGGAGATGATTGTGGACTTGAGAAGGAACAACCCCCCCCACCCACCCCCCACCCCAAAAAAACAAACAAACAAAAAAAAACATAAGAGGATCTGCGGTGGAAGTGGTCTCCAGCTACAAGTACTTGTGTGTGCACCTGAACAACAACCTCAGCTGGAGCAACAACACCACCAGCCTGATGAAGAAAGATCATCAGTGACTCTACTTCCTCAGACGGCTGAGGCGAGCTGGTCTGGAAGCTCAGTCCTCACCTCCTTCTACAGGTGTGCAGTGGAGAGCATCCTGTGCTCCAGCATCAACGTGTGGCATGGAGGCTGCACAGCTGCAGAAAGAAAAGCTTTGCAGAGAGTGGTGAAGGCTGCACAGAAATCTGTTGGAGTCAGTCTCCCCACCATCACAGACATCTACACCTCCAGATGCAGGAAGAAAACCACCTGCATCATGAAGGACCACACTCACCCAGCACATACACTTTTTGCCCCACTCCCCTCAGGAAGGAGGTTGAGGAGCATTAAGTGTAGAACCACTAGACTGAGGAACAGCTTCTACCCTGAGGCTGTTAGACTCATGAATATCTAACCAGAATAATCACTGTGAAAAATCACATCATGTTGCTGCTGATCTGTTTCATGTTGCTGCTGATCTGTTTCATGTTGATGTGTTCATTCGTGCTCATCTGCTCACACAGACTCATGTTCATGCTGATGTTCGATGTAATGTTTTTATACTGTTAGTGCTTAGTGTATATTTAGTTGATGTTTTTCTTAGTTCATATCTTTGATCTTATTTGATCTGTTTTTCTTATACATTTTATTGTTGGATGTAACTGGGACCCTGTGTAAATAACTTCGCTCCACCACATGAGGTGCAAATGACAATAAAGAATCTCTGACTCTGAAATTAAGCAGATCAAGACATGGTTATTAATTAAGGGAAATACATCTTTAAAGAGTCTGGTTGGGATGAGATCTAGCAGATGTGATGGTTTCGATGAAGCTATTATTTTTGACAATTCAGAGTTCAACTGGACAAAAACTGTCCAAACAAAAATCAGGTTCTAGCGACATTTTTAAAGTTGTCTCATCTGACACAGAACCGGAGGTGATAGTAGGAATGTTGGATTTAATTTTTCTCTAATTGAAACAATTTTATTTATAAAGTAAAAATCCAGGACTGACTCTGATCCAGGACTGACTCTGATCCAGGACCGACTCTGCTCCAGGACCGACTCTGCTCCAGGACCGACTCTGATCCAGGACTGACTCTGATCCATGTTTGGGACTGAAAACATCCAGAACAGCTTTTGAGGTTTGACCAGTTTTTCAACAGAAAAAGAAGTGGACTGTTTGAATAAAAAGTTGTTTCCTCAGAATCAGTACGAGTCCATCAGAACCAAGATCTCCTGATCAATATGACACAAAGTGGACCAAAGTCCGTTCTGTGAGAAGAATCTTTATTTCACGTGTTGGACCCATTTTCATGCATCACTGCCCATAAAAACATCACCTGGAGCAAAATGTGTTGCAACATTATTCACAGCACAGAAACAACAGCTCAACCTTTGGTTTACTACTAAAAACTGATAAAGATGTCTCTGTTGGCCCCCGAGGGACCTCCTGGGGTCCAGATCTGTCTACGTCAAACCATCCAGCAGAACCAAAGCAGAAACCAGGTGGGTTCAAACATCAGAGCAAAGCAGAGAAGGACACTGACCGTTTGTGAGGAGGTTTTTGAAATGTTACATTTTTAATCAGAAGGTTAAAAAACAGGAAGTTTGATCCAAATCGGTCCCTGGGACAGGACAAATGTCTCTTTTTTTGGTCCAACTTAAGGAAACTGCTCCTGAGTCTGAAGACATTCAGAGCCTTCAAACTGAGACTGAAGACAACAAGAACTCAACCTTCTCCTCGTTTCTTTAAAAACTCACTGATTAGCATGTGACCTTGTCCCGATGAACCAAACACACAGCAGAACCTCTGGTTCTGGTTCAGGAGGAAGACTGGTTTACAGATCTGCTGATGGCCCAAAATATCTTAGGGGTCGTTTTCAGATTTCTACGGTGCCACAAGGTGAGGTCAGGGGGGAAATGGGCACCCCAAACCCCCCTCCCCCACAGTCAACCAGCTTTATGTGCATATTCTGACAGAGTGAGATGGATGTCTCGTTAAGAGGGAACATCCTAAAGAAGAAGAAGTGATTGACCCAACAGAGACCAACGAGGACAGGGACGCATCAGAATTAACAGACTGATGAAGACAGAGACGCAGAAGATTGGACAGAGACCGTGAGGACAGAGACGCAGCAGATTGGACGGAGACCGTGAG